TCCACACCTTTGGTAGCTAAAAGCGTACATCCAGCACCAGTAGCCTACTCATCACCATTGATTGCAAGCCCGGCCGTATCTAAATCGGTAGTCAGCACCTACACCAACCATGGATCTCCATACATCTCTTCTTATGCCGCTCCAGCTCCTGTAGTAGCTAAAGCCATTGCTCCAGTTGTTTCAAGCTACTCTGCACATTCTGCTCCAGTTGTGTCCAGCTACGCTGCTCACTCTCCAGTTGTGTCCAGCTACGCTGCTCACTCTCCAGTTGTATCCAGCTATGCTGCTCATTCTCCAGTCGTATCTGCTCCCCTTGTAACCAAGTCCTTTGGTACCCCCTTGGCCTATTCATCTCCGGTGTATGCTGCTCATTCTGCTCCAGTTGTTTCCAGCTTCGCTGCACATGGTCCTGTTGTATCCAGCTATGCTGCTCACTCTCCAGTTGTGTCCAGCTATTCTGCTCACTCTCCAGTTGTTTCCAACTATGCTGCTTACTCTCCAGTAGTATCTGCATACTCTGCTGTTCCAGTCGCTCAACCCTGGTAAAATTATGATGTACCTAGCCTAATATAAATTATTTATTGGATTGTTAATAAATATTTTGAACATAAAGATGTGTGTTTTCATTTCATATTTATAATATCTATCTGAATCGGTTAAAAAATAAATAACGTATTCTTAAGCTGCTGTTTCAAAATTTGATTTGGTTTATACGAGAGTAAATTGCAATATTTCGATTTTTTGAGAATGTTTTTAAAAAGTAAATAAATCTTTGGAAAAATGTATCTAGAGGTATCAAATATTACAGGAGATGTGAAATATAGAAAAATAGAGCAGTAAACACATTTTGGTACCATATCGTCACAATAGAACAACAAATTTGTAAACTGCACTTTAAAAAAAAAACTAAGTATCGGTATCGGTATACCTATCCAAGTTTTGTGTTGACTAATTAGGGGTCATCCATAAATTATGTCATACGTTAAGAGAGGGGGAGGGGGTCGACGAAGTGTGACATTGTGTTACAAGTCGTGGGAAGGGTTTTACATTTCGTGACGTTACATTTGTAAAATACGTTGTAAAAATAATACTGACTTAGCATCAGCTCTAAAACTTCGAGATACTGTTGATTTGGTCGTCGTAGAGTAGAAGAAAACCAATCTGAAGTCATAAAGGATATTGCAGTTTCTGGTGGCGCAACTGATGAACGACATCGCACTGAAACTATAAGCTGCTGCAAAACATAGGACGATTTACAAGCCGAACTTTGTAAACAGGGATATAGTATCAGTCGATCAGGGTTATACTTCAGACTTCTTATCAGACGAGTTAATACAAAGGAAAGAAAGAGACACGTACTAACTGTTCTTGTTAAACTATGCAAACCAGTTGTGTTTTTGTCTAGGTTTGTTTTAATAATTTTATTGTGATGAGTTTCTTTTGAATGAACTATTGGTATATTTTGACTTTTTTCGGCATGTTTTTCTTGTACCGAGATTGTTTTTGAGAAACATTTTGGAGCTTCGTTGAATAGCCTAACTAGATCTACATTTGATCCTCGTAAGTTTATAATTTCATTTTTAAGTTGTTTTATTTCCTTTTCCAATTTTATAATTGTTTCAAATTTATTCTTATTTTGATCCTTTTCTTCTTCTAACTTTTAACATATATAATCAGTTTCTTTCCAAAACAGCTGCAGTTACACATTCTTTGATGTAATCTTTAAGTTCTGTTGATTCCAAGATAGAATTAGATTAATTAATAAAAGATGATCGTCTAGGTGTTTCTTTTCCTGCGCATAGGTGACATACATATTTTTTTCCATCTTGTAATTTATGTTCTTTTGCGTAATTATGTATCTCTTCAATTGATAAATTTGCGCAATCTCTGTGTAGACACTCTCATTAAAATAAAATATACTTATTGTAAGAACAGTAGCCACTACCATGAAATACTAATTACTGTGTTTATCACCTTAAACTTTTTATTGACGATACGAAAAAACTAGCTCACAAAAACTAGCTTTTATTAAAACATATTTACTAAACTGCACTTTTTGTACAAAAATATTAATTTTTAGACTTCAATAGCATTTAAATCAAATTTCCAATAGTGTTATTTTCGGAATTTTTACTTAACTGTTGAAACATTTTAGCTGGCACATTCTGTACTGCTACGATAAGAAATATTTAATCTTTAGCTTCAATTTTGGGTACTGATCAGGTTTTTTTTAGCAATGGATGACAAAGCACGCGTGCCTTTAGTTATTATTGTGTCAAATAATATATTTAGGGTTCATGTACTATAGGTAAAATAGTTAAATAATTATTCATTTATTAAAAAATATTTATCTCATATTAAATTATTATTTTCATTTGTCACATTCATTGTTTAGTTTATTTAAAGATATTATTTCCAAAGAGGAAGTGTAAATTCAAGTTTCTTAATTAATTGATACTTTTATGGAAATTCGTTGAAGTTGCAAAGACAGCAGTAAACGCAGTTCAACGAATTACCTGATCAAGCAAAAGTGCATGAACCCGAACTTTCTTTATAAAATATTAAATATAATTAATCACTTGGTTTTGAAGAGCGACATAAGCATCATCCCTCTTAAAATGGTGTACCCTTGGTGAGTACCTAATTAATTTGTTATATTTATCATTATTCAATGGAGATTGTCTTTTTCCTTTTTTAAACTAAATCATTTACTTATTAAATAAATATTCTCAATTATTATTATGTTTTGTTAAAGTAGTTCTACCATCTAGCTATAATTAACCCCTCAGCTCGTTTAGGGAAACATAAAAACCCTAAACGCGGCAATAGCAGCAACTGCTCAAGCGCCAATATTAATGCACTTTGATTATCGTGTAAAATTACCGGATCATGATTTCGCGGAAAAACATAAACTTATTCTTTCTGTTTATGCCGATATCGTATTAAAGAAAAATGGTGAAGGGAAACCTGGAACTGTGACACACTCTGGGCCTACATACGTAGCAATTCGTAGTGGAAAGCATTCTTCCTCTAATGCAGAGACTCCTACCACAGACATACATAGACTTTCTGAAACACCTGCTTCCAAAAACTTTATGAGAACTCGAGAAAGTTTTGTAAAACCCGTATTTATGTTTTCTTGCGATGGTGCTTCCGACGAAAATCCATGATACGAGCGAGTTATAGTTTCATCTATACAACATTTTAAAAATTTTGACTTGGATGCTATTTACATTGCCACAAATGCTCTAGGAAAAAATGCTTTCAACAGAATGGCGCCTCTAAGTCGCGAACTTACTGATGTTTTATTAAAACATGACAATTTTGGTTTACATCTTGATTCTAGTAATCGAACTACTGACATGGAGTTAGAAAAACGAAACTTTGAGAGTGCAGGCATTGTGCTGTCTAATACTTTGAGCCAACTGATCATTGATGATTTTGTTGTGGTTGCCGAATACATTGTACCAACAGATACTAGACTGGATATTGGACAGGCTAATATATTGAAAAATGATGCGACTTGGTACGCAAATCATGTGCGTCAATCACAATATTTACTATAAATAGTAAAATGCGGAGTTGTACCTTGTTGTGCTGTGTAAAGATCTAACCTTTGGCGACTATTACGAGAGGGGTTTCTACTACCACCTGTTTTAGTTAGACAGACGTCAAATGGGTATGTAACCATAGACAAAAATGACTCTGAAGGTAAATTTGATCCACTGTTATGTTATCCACAGTTATCTTTGGATCTCCGAGCATCATCACATTTGAAACAAGTTCCGTATGATAGCTATTGTCCCAGTGTCGAGACATACTTGTTTAAGCGATCGTGTGGCATCTGTGGTGTATATTTTGCATCATACAAGGCCACTAACCAACACAAGCAATCGCATAAGAGACAACTAGAAGTTTTGCCCATCGGGAAGATTTATCCTTAAAGAATTGTTGCTAGACGTGCCAGAGAAATTCTTTGTTTCTATAACGATGATGTCATTTGGTTGGATGAAAAAGATGTTGACGCAATAACAATCCAAAGTAGACCAAAGTGACTTCTATGTAATTTAATGGAGTGGTTCAAAGTCCATGGACTCAAGATGAATAAGTTTAAATATTTCAATGATATAAATAATCTTTTTTTGTTTTGTTAATTTTTTCAAATGTTTGATTTGTTGTTGATTTTATTAAAAATAATTTAAACGGAAGTAAAACTAATTTCGGAACTGCTGTTTTAATTTAATAATTTCTATATGTAAAATTGCTAAATATGTGACGTCACACTAGGGAGGGGGAAGTCTCACAAAAGTAACCAGCTGTGACTAGGACAGGGAGGGGTCAAAAAATCATAAAATTCTTGTGACGTAATTTATGGATGGCCCCTTAATTAGTTTTTGTGACCCATTGATTCACATGGGGCTCAATCGTATATTGTCCTATACCAGTTAGGAGGAACGAAAAAGCCAGCAAAGCTTGAAATTTGATAAATTGAACGTTTTAATTTAAATTAATTGGGCATACCCTAATAGCACAGTATTGTTACATGAACATTCCAGAAACATACCCTTGGGACATTAGAAACGTCTCTGTTATGTTTCTTATTCTCACTCAAACGTACCTGGGATGTTTCTGGCAATGACCATGTCATCATTTGTAACGTATTAGAGATGGTTCTCAGAGACGTTTGTGGAACATCCTGCGATGTTGATAAAACATCTTAGGTAAGTTTTTTATACTATTGCTGGAACGTTCTAGAAATAACCTAAACGTTTTTTAGTAGGATAATTAAAGCTATTACTTTTTTTCATAAATTTATTTGAAAAAAAAATATTTTTTGACACAAAAGATAAAAAATGTTAATTATTACGCTCTAATTCCATTGCCTACATTTCTTTCCGGAGCCCTCCACAACTAGTCATCTATTTTAATTTCCATTTAGTTTTTGTTTACCAATTTACCGAATCTGAAAATGTTATTATATATTAGGTTAAAATAATTACCCATAATGGCTTCAGCTATTTTTAACTTGGCGTCTTCCTTTTTTCCAATAAATGAAAACAACTTACACAACTCGTTCCTTGGGGGGAACTATGCATCTTCTAATAAATTTACACACATTATTGGTACCTTGGTTTTCAAAATATAATACCTAAAATAGTTATTTTTAAAGTTAACAAAGAAATAATGACTAGAATGTATAAAAGCCACATTTTGTTAAAGGAAATTAAGTTACCTTTTTCATTTTGGCTTAAATATCTCACCCGTAAAACGATTGCTTTTGCATTGGCCAAGCCTGACTAAACCTTAAACTGGAAGTGATTTTCATGTAGCTTTACGTACAAACTATACACGTCAATCCGGCCGCCTATTATCACTTTTAATTTATTTAATAGTTTATAAAGAAGTTGTTTATTACTTTTAAACTTTTCCAAACTTTATCATAAGCGAGGAGAAGCAGAGCCCTTTTTTATTTTCAACTGTCAACACTAATGAACTATCTGTCATATGTCAACATTGTCATTTGACGGTAGACGTGTTCGGTTAATACTCCGCGAGCAAATCAAATATGAAGTTTATTCCTTTTTATCGAAAATATCGTTCCATCCATACAATTTGTGTAAATGGAACGATATTTTTATGAGTACTGTATCTCAGTGCTACACTATCAATGCAAAAAAAATAGATTCCATCACGAGCACTTTCTTCAATAGTGTATTTCGCGGAGGATTAACCGAACTCTCCTGTTCAGCCAGAAGGAAGGGTATATTCATCTCTGTTGTATTTGCTTTGCATTCTTTTTTGAAGGAACTAATAAAGATAAATTGGACCTGTAGCAGTTGCCTTGTGAAATTAAAATATTGTTCAAAATGTTCAAATTTAATATTGAAGTTTAATATGATTGTAAATTTCTGGTGATTGCAGTAATTTTATAATTTATTGATATTTCAAAATAATTGAAACGAAAATAGAAGACCTAAAACATAATTGCGATGTTTCTAAAACATTCTTGAGAAATCATTCCAGAAACGTTCCTTTAGAGACATCATAGGGACCTACCATTTATGTCAGAAACATAGAAAAATACATGGAACGTAAATGAGATGTTTCTGGCAGATCGGTGTATACATTCAGTCGAACTAGTCTTATAAAAATTTAACACTAACATATTACGGACACAAAACTAAATATTTAAAAAAAATCCTACAACTAGTCAAATGAAAATTCAGCAGAGGCGTTCATTTTTTCGTTAGTGAGGGCTGAGAGCATGGGTTTTGAAAACACTTTATTTTTAATACAATTTCCATAATATCCACAATAGATCTGAAAAGGTCGAGGGGGGGAGGCCACATGGCCCATAGTCCTAATTAAATCTAATACAATTTCCATGATCTTATTTTACTATAATTAAAATACAGATAAGCAAATCGTTTAAAATCGTATTAAAAACAAAGTGTTTGTTTCAAAAACCCATGCTCCCAGCTCTTACTAATAAAAAAGTAAACACCTCTTAACCCTAATAACACGGATCTGCCAGAAACATCCCATTTAGGTTCCATGTATGTTTCTATGTTTCTAACATAAATAGTACGTCACTACGATGTCTCTAAAGAAACGTTTCTGGAATGATTTCTCAAGAATGTTTTATAAACATCGTAATTATGTATCGGTCTTCTATTTTCATTTTAAATATTATTTTGAAATAATAAATTATAAAATTACTGTAGTCGCCAGAAATCTACAATAATATCAAACTCCAATATTAAATTTGAACATTTTGAACAATATTTTTATTTTATAAGACAACTGCTACAAGTCAAATTTATCTTTATTACTTCTTTCAAAAAAGAGTGCAAAGCAAATACGACAGAGATGAATATACCCTTTCTTTTGACTCAGCAGGAGAGTTCGGTTAATCCTCAGCGAGCTAAAAAAAATACACTATTGACCAGAAGCCCTCGTGATGAACTCTATTTCTTTGCATTGAAAGTGTCGCACTGAGCTACAGTACTGATGAAAATATCGTTCCATTTATACAAATTGTATGGATGGAACGATATTTTCGATGAAAAGGAATAGACCTCATATTTGTTTTGCTCGTGGAGTATTAACCGAACACGTCTACCATATATTCAATGACAATATTGACATATGACAGACAGTTTATTAGTATTGACACTATTGACAGTTAAATATGAAAAGATGTTTCGGCTCGCTTATAATAAAGTTTGGAAAAGTTTAGAAGGTCTAAACATCTGGTCTATAAACTTTTAAATAAACTAAAAGTGATAATAGGCGGCCGGATTAACGTGTATAGTTTGTACGTTAAGCTTCCAATTTGAAGTTTGATTACGCATAGCAAATGCAGAAACAATCGTTTTACGTGCAAGATATTCAATCCAAAATGAAGAAGGTAACTTAATTTCCTTTAACAAAATGTGGCTTCTATGCATTCTAGTCATTATTTCTTTAAAAATAAATATTTTAGGTACTAATTGTGTGTGTAAATTTATTAGAAGATACATAGCTCTTATCAAGGAACGAGTTGTGTAAGTTTTTTTTTTTTTTCATTGGAAAAAAGGAAGACGCGAAGTTAAAAATAACTGAAGCCATTATGGGTAATTATTTTAACTTGATATCAGTTGTTTATATTATCATTTAATTGAAACATTTACAGATTCGGTAAATTGGTTAACAAAAAGGAAATGGAAATTAAAATAGGTGACTGGTTGTGAGGGGCTCCGGAAAGAAATAGACGCAGTGAATCAGAACGTAAAAATGAACATTTTTATTTTTGTCAAAAATTTTTTTTCAAATAAATTTATGAAAAAGTAATAGATTTGATTATCCTACCAAAAAAAACATTTAGGTAATTTCTGGAACGTTCTAGCAATAGTATAAAAAACTTACTTAAGACGTTTGAGCAACATAGCAGGATGTTCCACGAACGTCTCTGTGAAACGTCTCTAATACGTTTCAAATGATAACATGGTCATTGCCAGAAACATTCCAGGTACTTTTGAGGGAGGATAAGAAACATGACAGGGACGTTTCAAATGTCCCAAGTGCATGTTTTTGGAACGTTCATGTAACAATACTGTGTTATTAGAGAATGGCAGCACTTAATTTCTATTTGGATTTTTTTTAAATATTTAATTTTACGTCCGTAATATGAGCTACCCAGTATAAATTGTCGGCCAATATTGACTCTTTTCGCCTGAATGTATACGCCCAATAACTGTAAATAAACCGTTCAATTTATCCTATTTTAAGCTTTCCTGTTTTTTTAGAGAATAAGTTACTATGTTCCTCTTAAAAAAGCAATTAAAATTATTCAGATAGTCCTATATTTTATACATTTTTAACACATGTCATAATGCTGTTAGAACAGAATTCCTATCGTGGATAGTATACAGGGTGTTTCATAATCTCTCTGACAAAAGGAAAATGGAGAATTCTAACATAATTTTAAGATGAATATGTAGTAAAAAATTTTTTAGAATATTGATTCGTTTTCGAAATGCAGGTTGTTGAAAAAATAAATTTTGATGCTTTCTCTTTTTATTATTATGGCAACGATATTCCAGTGATATTTGGTACACCTAATAAGAGGTTTTAGTACTTTACTTAAAATTAATTTTTAAGTTAGATAAGATAAAAATAATGAATGCTAAACAGGCCCGTATTATTTATTTTTTGCGAAATTATGGTACTGGTTACTCAGATCTGCGTCAGTGAACTAATTGAAAAGTTTAAAATGGACACAAAGTAAAGTACTAAAACCTCTAAAATATCGTTTGCCACCAATTGACAATAAAAATAAAACACATCAAATGTTATTTTTACAATACCCTGTATTTCGAAAACGAAGTGACATTTAAAAAAGTATATTACATGTTCGTCTTAAAATTAGGTAAGAATTATCCTCCTTCCTTTTGTCAGAGAGGTTAGGAAACACCTTGTATATTAATTAAGAATAAAAAGTACAATGAGTTCCAAAGAATGTTATATTTATACTAAAGTAATATTTGATTGCTGAGTTTGATGGTTTAACTTAATAGTTTATAATAATTTTGATGGAAAAATCATGTATGTAACACGTTACGTAATACCGGTTTATAAAACGCGTTCACGTTGCGGGGCCTCGCTCTGCTCGTCCTGCAAATATTCACTTGTTACATAAAATAAAGCATTTTGTAATTGGTTTCATAAATAGCTACTACAATATTTAAAAATCCATTTTTAAATTACATTTACATTGTATTGATACAAGATGGTCCTTCTCCTTAGACAGTTTTTAACCTTTTGGAGAACCTGAAGCAAACAAACTGCAGTGTACCATTCTAAATTAACAATACATCCTGCAGTGCTACAATCGAAACATGCCCAGTTTTTTCGAAAAAGTGGAAGTCATCTTTTTGTTTCGGCTTTTTGACGACTAACTTTTGTTGGAGCCGACTAATTCTCAAGGACCCAAACTGACGATTGTTGTTTTTTTTTCGGAATTATAGCAGTATACTCAAATTAGATAATTCACGGTCAAATTGATCTAGTATAGATCTGCACCATCTTACACGATCTTGTTTTTAGCTAAAGTCAAGTTGTGGGGCATTTACCGAAAAAACAAAGCTTACTGATTATTCTCTATAGAAAGCCACAAAGCGATTAAAAAGACCCACTATGCAGAATGCTCCAATCAGGAATACAGATGGTAGCTGGGCTAGAAATAATATACAAAAAGTTAATAGATTCGCAGAACACTTAGAAAACACCTTCAAACCAAATAAAGGAGAAGAATTACCGAACTGGGCTCCTCTAGTGAGAGATGACTCAATTATCAGACAAACCTCTCCAAAGGAAATTGCAGAAGATATAAAAACAAATATTAATCCTAAGGAAGCTCCTGGCTATGATTTAATTACAGGAGAAGTCTTAAAACAACTTCCGAAGAAAGCCATAATTAAACTTACATACCTGTTTAATGCCTCATTCAAACTAAGGTATGTCCCTAGATTGTGGAAAGTAGCTAAAGTCATTATCATCCCCAAACCAGGAAATCCTTCGAACGAAGTTTCGTCAT